CGATGAACCACCATGACTAATACTACAGCAGTAAGTGGTAAAATGTGGCCACCCTTTCCATGTCCAAATTCCAGTGCAGTTGTAGCCATGGGTTTGACCAGTGCATAGAAGTCTTTACCTTCTTTTAATTGTTGAGCTTATTGGGGTTATGATGGTAGGTTGTCTACCTCCATCCTATCCCTAGCACTCTCTGACATGCCAATCATGAGTATGTTCTCCTCCACTACATTGAAAAAATTGTCTCTATGGTCTTCTTCTGTTCCTTCTGTCTAACCTTTGCTCAATATCTCCAGTATCCCTCCTCTGCACATGTCCAAATCATCTCAGCCTTGCCTCTCTAACTTTGTCTCCAAACTGCTCAACCTGAGCTGTCCCTCTGATGGACTTGTTTCTAATCTTGTCCGTTCTAGTCACTCTCAACTAAAGTCTAAGCATCTTCAGCCTCACCACCTGTCTTCTTGTCAGGGTCACTGTCTCCAAACCAAACATCATAGCAGGTCTCACACCCCTCTTGTAAACATTCCCTTTCGTTCTTGCTGCTATCACAATTCACCCCTGACACTCATCTCCACCGGCTTCATGGTGCCTACACTGTCTTCTTTATCTCTCGTGTGCACTGTCCATTGCTTTGAATAGCCGATCCCAGGTATTTAAACTCATCCAACTTCACTATCTCGATTCCTTGCGTCTTTACCTTTCTACCAGCCTACCAGGTTTCAACGTAACTTTATTCTTTCATAAGTTATTTACAAGTTTCTGACCACTTATAAAATGTGTTCAATGTGCTGCCCATTGTGTTGGATTGTCAATGCAACCCTCTTCTTCACACACTGATAGCAACACCGCAGGAGAAATGCCAGCACAGGCATCCAGTATCCGTAGTTTCAGGTGCTGCACATCTCGTATCTTCACACCATAGACAATTGCCTTCAGATGACCCCAAAGATAAAAGTCTAAGGGGGTCAGATCGGGAGACCTTGGGGGCCATTCAACTGGCCCACGACGACCAATCCACTTTCCAGGAAACTGTTCATCTAGGAATGCTCGGACCTGGCACCCATAATGTGGTGGTGCACCATCTTGCTGGAAAAACTCAGGGAACGTGCCAGCTTCAGTGCATAAAGAGGGAAACACATCATCATGTAGCAATTTCAAATATCCAGTGGCCTTGAGGTTTCCATTGATGAAGAATGGACCCACTATCGTTGTACCCTATATACCACACCAAACCACTCTCCAGTGACATGCAGCGAGTGCTACGCTGTGGGCTCTTGCTGAATGAAGCTAGGACAGCCACTGATGTTTCTTCATTAGTGACAGTTTTCTTGCGTCCACATTTTGGCAAATCCAACACTGAACCAGTTTCACGAAACTTAGCAAGCAGTTTGCTAACTGTAGCATGGGAGATGGGTGGTCTCGTAGGGTGTCTTGCATTGAAATCTGCTGCAATGACCCGGTTACTGCGTTCACCAGATATCAACACAATTTCGATCCGCTCCTCACGTGTTAACCTCTTCGACATGTCAATGGCTGTGAACAAAGAGAAACTTGTAAATAACTCATGAAAGAATAAAGTTACGTTGAAACCAAGCACACCATTGTTTTTCTTGTGACATTACCAATAAGTTTGATGTGTCACATGGCCCTCTTCCTATTGAAAAAACAAAAGTTGTATCCAAGATGGCCGACTTCTAAATGGCCACCATGGTCACCACCCATCTTGAGGAGTTTGCCCCCTCACATATACTAATGTGCCACAAACAGGACTTTAATATCACCAACCATTCCCATGTTATTACGGTGTATCCATATAAATGGCCCACCCTGTACTTCTCCAGGCTTTCTTGCACCTGCTCCCTACTCTCACTACAGTCTCATCTGTGAACATCACAGTCCACAGAAACTCCTGCCTGATCGCATCGGTCAACCTGTCCATCACCACTGCAAACAAGGTGCTCAGGGATGATCCCTGATGTAATCCTACCTCCATCTGTTACTCCAATAGCACCTTTCCTCACAGTCTTGCTACCCTCATGTATGTTCTAAAAACCATGTCTTCACTCACTAGTATATTTGCATCTCTAACCTTATTCACTTAATCTACTGCACATCCTTTCCAGCTCGATTTCTGCCTCTAGCCAACTAGTACAAGTCCTTTTCAAGACTTTCTTGGCTTGGTTTTTCCTCAATCTTTCCAGAATGCCTGGAATGTGAACAATTTCTAAAATACTTTACTGATAAAATTCTATCTCTCAAATCCTCACTCCCCCCAGTGGTGAGCTTTGTTCTCACTGGAGAATGTGCTTCTACTTTTCATCAGTTTGAGCCAGTGTCACTCTGTACACTTAAGCAAATTGTCAAGCAACTGAAAATTACTAGTTCTGCATATGAACCTCTTCCGTCTCGCATTGTGAAGGACGGCTTTGATGTAATTGGGCCCAGTATTCTATTTTTAATGAACTGACCATTGTCTTCTGGCTATGTTCCCTCTGTTTTTAAACATGCTATAGTGCAACCTGCTCTCAAAAAAAAGGTGTCTTGACCATTGTGATTTTGTTAATTATAGGCCGATATCCAAACTTCCGTTCCTCTCCAAAATCCTAGAGAAGATAGTTCTCTCACACGTCCAGGCTTACCTGGATGCGCATGACATCTGTGATAAATTTCAGTCTGGTTTTAAACCACGCACAGCACCGAAACAGCTTTGCTGAGAGTCCTTAATGAACTTCTCTTAATTACTGATTCAGGGCATTCTGTTGTATTAGTCTCATTGGATTTGTCCTCAGCTTTTGATATGGTTTACCATAATATCTTATTAACGAGGTTAGAACACACTGTGGGGATTCGGGGTGAAGCCCTTAACTGGTTCAAATCATACCTTTTGAACAGGTCTTTCTCCGTTACCTTGGGTACTTATTCTTCCTCAACTGCATCCTTATGCTGTGGTGTGCCCCAAGGTTCTGTACTTGGCCCAGTGTTATTCTCATTATACAGTATATATGAGATATATATGCTCCCCCTAGGCTTAATCTTTGAAAAATATAACATTTCCTATCACCTTTATGCCAATGATATACAAATATATTTTCAATTAGATGATGACGACATTGCTCCTTCATTGCACTGCTTTCTCGAGTGCATGAGAGAAGTCAGAGAATGGCTTTCAGGCAATTCCCTTATCCTGAATGATAAGAAAACAGAAATTGTGGCGTTTGGCAACCATATCCCTTGGGACCTATTAGCTGATACCTTTGGTTCCTTTGCCACTTCTTTCTCTGACTCAGTTAGTGACCTAGGTGTCCTGCTGGATAGCTCTTTTAAATTTAACAAACAACTGTCCTCAGTAATCAAATCTAGCTTTTACCAACTGCGCCTTATTGCTAAGGCTAAGCACTATGTTCCTCATAAAGATCTTGAAAGGCTCATTCATGCTTTTGTGACTTCTAGATTGGATTACTGTAATCTCTCTCCTTTGGTCTTCACTCCGCTCTCCTTCACAGACTCCAGCTTGTCCAAAATGCGGCGGCTCGCCTCCTGACTGGCACTAGAAAGCATGCCTCTATCACCCCTGTTCTTATTGATTTGCATTGGTTACCCATAAAATATTGCATTGAATTTAAAATATTGTTGCTCACCTTTAAAATTATAAATAATTTAGCCCCTCGTTATCTTGTCGATCTTCTTAGTCTATATGTCCCTGGGCGAGCCCTCAGGTCTTCAGCCCAATTACTCTTGACTCAGCTTAGATCTAGACTTAAATCTAGGGGTGACCGTGCTTTTGCCCTGGTTGCACCTAATCTGTGGAATAACCTTCATCGCTATCCGTGCGTCAGACTCCATTTTATCTTTTAAATCCCGTTTAAAAACTCACTTATTCAACATAGCTTTTCCATCAAGTTAGTGTCACTATTTTATATTTGGTTTAATTTTTATTTATGTACTTTACCTTTTAGCTTTATCTGTTCTTAGTAACTTTGTTCTTATATTCCCTTTTATTGCTGTATAATTAGTGCCCTCAACCTGATGACATATGTGGTACTTTGTTAATAGCCTTTTATTTAATCATGTCTTAATTTACCTGTTTTTATTGTAAAGCACTTTGGTGTACCACTGGTTTTTTAAACGTGCTATACAAATAAAGTTGTATTGTATTGTATTGTATCTTTCCATAATACACAAAATCAGTCTTTTTCTTTTTTTTTAGCCAACTCCTACAACAGGATCAAGAGTTGGCATCTTAGGCTCCTGCAGGTACTTATGAAGATCCAATATTATAATGTTATTTTGTCGCCTAGCAACCACCAAAAAAATACAAATCACAAAGTTTCTATAGCTTGGGCATGTACTAGCTGCTATAATGAACGTACATTTAGGTTCCCATTGTTCTTCTAAAATAAGCAAAATCTTCACTAAAATTGATCAAAGCTGAATTAACCTTGTTTTTTTTTTATTTAGGAATACATTTATTTGGAATAATTTGCTATACTGAAAAAAACAGGTAACAAAAAAGAAGAAGAAAAAGAAAAGTCAGCATTACATAACTTTTCCAGTCTTTTACTACTACTGTCCCTACTTTTCATATAACATCACTTTCTTTTTAACTGGACTGTACATATTATATTAAATCAATTTATTAATCAATTAATCACCTTTTGGTGATTAACTTCTTGAAACAACTATGTCTGGAAAAAATACTATATATTAATATATTATCTAAATAATAGCATTTTTCAATTGTTTTATTTATCTATTAAAACATAAAATTATTATAACATGCAGTAACTGATGCACATGTAAAAATCATGTGAAAATACAGTCACCGTGTGGACACAATCAGCTCAGAGGCATTAAATGGAAATATCATGTTCTGCTGACTAGGATTCAGATAGAAAATCACTTTAATCTGCTTAGCAGTGTATGTATAAATTCATGGGAAAATACAGCTTACGTAACAAATCCTCTGAGTGATTGTGATAAAAAAATCTGAGTATGTCTCAGCATTTGTCTTTGACTTCTTTTTAATCCACATCAAACGCATTTCATTCAGTCATAATAAATCTGCAGTCCTTAAGAGAAAACACAAAAAGATTAAAAACATTTTCAAGACAAAGTAAATCAAAGCAGGCCAGAAACACACGTACAATCCACAACATCATATTGCAATACTGCATGATAACTTAATTACACACGATTTATTTTTTTATTTCACAAAGTGACACTAAAATAGAAAATAAACCCTCCATTTAACAAGGAAGAAAGGCATCTCCATTTTCAGGTGACAGCTTGCAATATACATACATTCAAAGTGGATGTGTGCGTCTGAGTTTATATAAGCAGCAAAGTCAAAAAGAGGAATTATAACAAAAGTCCAACACTGAAAGGGAAAACATGTTTACCCCATGAACAAATGTTATTTTACCATATAATATATGTACAATTCAAATTTTTTTAAAGTTTTATTTTAATGTTTTTACTTACATGGTCAGAAGAGTCTTCAAAGTGTGAACCAGAAAAATAATGGTGCATGTATTTTAGAAAATAGTATACTTAGCTTTGTAATTCAACTGTAACACATACATTTAGAGGCACAAACTTAAACTACAAATAAACTTCATGTAGAAATGTATTATGAATGCAGTTGACTTGACTTTGACTTTGATGCTAGTACAGGTAAGCTGCACTTCCTCCTTTGCACTTATCCTCAGACCTCCGTCTCTTTGTTGGCTTTTCCATCGAACTTTTGCACAAAGCTTCATCGCTGGTTGCCTGCAGGCTGTCAAAAGTGCCCTGCCTCGCCCCCTCCTGCAGGTTTTCATCATGCATTCTGTGCATCCTCCACAGATCCACAAACCGGTCCACACAGCTGAACCTGGCCTCTGTGGTGCAGGCATACATGCCAACCGGCACAGCCAGCACCATTGCGCACACAATAACTATAATGTGGATTAACCTTTCTTTCTGCTCCATCTCACTAATGTCACTTCCTGTTACAAACACAATGCACTGACCTTCCCTTGGTGGGTGGTTCTTCAGGGTCACACACACCTCGTATTTGGTGACAGGAAGCAGATTACTGACCGAGTAACTGTTGATGCCCGGGCCAATGTAGATCATTTCCTTCTTTGGTGAATCATATTTGCCAAAGTGGATGGTGAACCAAGTTTCTGCAGGATTTTCAGTTGCTGCGTGCCACTCTAAGGTAATTCCATAAACTGTCTGTTTGGCTATGTGTATTTCAATGTAGGCATTCTTCTCAGATGACAGCATAGGGACAGGCGGTAGGAGAGGAAGGGAGGAATCAGAAGAGGTGATGTTAACTGTAATGTTGACAGAGGAGTTGCCAATGAAATTGTTGGCCGTGCAGGTGTAGAGTCCTCGGTCTGCCAGATGAAGAGAGGGGATCAGGAGCTGGGAAGAGAAGGTCTCCTCATCGATGTTTGTCTGTGATGCTGCAAGGTGAAAACAGAGCATCAGAGCAAATCACAGGATTTTTTTCATCTGGTAATGACATGCTCAGGTATTCTGATATTATGCAGTAAGTATTGTCTCTTTCAAAACACTGCAGCCTGGGAGTTCACTATATATACTTCGCTAAGTGCTCCAACAGCAGGTTCACAACAATTTAATGGATGGTAGTGATTAAAAAAAAAATCTTACCAACAAATCCTCTTATAATCTTCAGACTGTACATCCACTGAATGGTCGGCTCTGGCCTGCCCTTCACTAAGCATGTTAGGGTTGCATTTGCTCCCAGAGGTAAAGTGATGTTGGTTTCTGGGGCAGAGGTCACTGGCCTCATGCATGATTTTAACTGAATCTCGTGGAAAAACTTGTGAGCTTTGAGAGCTGGACCTGAACACATCAGATAAGAGTTCATCAGGATGATGGGAGGGCTGACTGCCCTGGTGAACTCCACAAAGCCTTTGAGGCGGCAGTCACACAACCAGGGATTATCATGCAGCCCCAAAACCACATTTGACACCATCCCTTCTTTTGCCCAGGCTTTCTCAGCTATTTGGAAAAGGGGCCAATTAATGAAGACTTCTTTTGCTATGACACTAAGCTGATTGAAGGATAAATCTAAGTAGGTCAGCGCAGGTAAATATCTCAGAGCATGTTCGGGTAGCACATCCAGGTGATTGTGTTTTAGGTCCAAAATCTTGAGTTTTGGTGTATCCTGAAATGCTGTCCATGGTACTGAAGTCAGCTTGTTCCCTTGTAGCCTTAGCTCAGTCAAGTTAGCGAGCCTCTCTAGGCTTTTCATGTTCATCAGAGCGATCTCATTAAAATTTAGCCAGAGGAACTCCAAGGCAGGCACTTTTGAGAAGGATCCTCGGGGTAATTCAGTCAGATGGGATTTTTCAATTCGGATTTTAATGAAATCATGTGGGATGTCCACTGGGATTTCTCCCATGGAGGTTTCCATACATAGTAAAGACCTAAAATGACAGACAAGAAAATTTGTGCTATACAAAGATACTGGTGTAGTACACTTAGCTTAAACGCAAATTTTGGATAGTGTTTATTTGAGCATTTCACACTAGTCATGCTATAAGTAATGTTTATTGTAGCACGTAACTTATTCAAAAGAGGACAGACTCATAGCAAATATACAACCGAGCTTTACAATGTAGCATATTTTTAGTGGCCACTTACCTTCCTAAGTTATCATCTGTGCAGGAGCAACCGAACAAACAAGTTGACGATCCAAAAGAGATGAACTGGAATACCAAAGTGATATGCAATGTGACATAAAAGGCGTCCATGATCCTAGACACGCATATGAAATAGGCCTGTCAGGGCAGGACATGCTCATGGGCTGCGTGAAAGAAAGCCCATTACCTTAATCTCCCTTGACGTAACCCTTAAGAGGCCAAATGACATGTGAGACACAGGTGTATTTATAGCAATGGTCCACTTTTTCTAAACACAATGTTAGATCTTTTCAAAAGGACATAAAGAGTTAACATTCACAAGTGTTTTTCAGTCGAGAGCTATGAGTTCGGCTTGATAGTAGTTCTTGTCTCAGATATGACCCTAAAATGCTTCGCATCAGATTAATTTAATTTATTTGTTCCCCACTAAAGCAGCAGCATTGACATGACAGGAGGCCCATCTGTGTTAAGTGGGCCGGAGCCCGTCAGGCTTAGCAACACTGAGAGGGAGGGCTGCACAGAGACAGAGACAGATGTCTGGAGAGGACTGACCTCAATAATCTAAACACTGTTTGTCTCTCAGGTTGATAAAGGCCAAATCAGCATATACCAAAGCGAGTTCGAAAACAAACATCTACACTATAGCTCTGCAGTTTCACATCCTTTAATACCCACGCTTTTTATACATGCGCATTATAATTTAACAGATAAACAGATTAGCCACGTGTTCAGCATTTCAGGAAATGTCTTTTACATAAGGCATATCATAATCGTCGTTTATTGCTACAGTTTGCTTGAATGCTGAGTTAATCATACAGAGACTGTACTACGGTAGTAGGTAATTTAGATGCTGGAGCACCCATAATCAAAATGATAAAGACTGATCCAATGGAAAATATGAATATTAGTCCAAATTTATGCCATTATATGTATCAACTGTAGTGATTCATATATTAATGCTACAAAAACTGCCTCGGATTTGCCTACAGCTGTATTAATTGATTGTATTTACTTAGTTTAAGCATGTTTTGTAGCAGTTTATAGATACAGGGGATACGTGTGGGTGTTTTTAAGGAAAGTAAAGATGTAGGAAAAAAGTAAGCATAAATCAATATAAAAATATTTATTTTTATACAGTACATTCATACATACACATATATTTTAGGTTACAAATATTTACACATTACAAAATGTACTGTATTTCAGGTTTTTCACCCAACAGTAAACCTGGCACATTCACATCATACTGACATATAAAACAGGCTAAATAAACTATTGTTTCCCTAAATACGTGTAGAATAAAGATTTTCACACAAAGCATAAGTTACATCTTAGGAAAAAACAAAGAAAAGTGAATGTATTGGGTTTAAGAGAGTTTAGGGCATCAAGAGATTTTTCTCTTATTCTTAAAAGTGCACGATGAATTAAAAAAAGTTATTTCTACACCACTTGTAAATGTACAACTGTGTTACTGTGTATATTTTCCCTTTTTGTTGTTTCCCACCAAATGAATGGTAGCTTTTACTCCCACAAGGCTGTAATTTATTTGAATAGATCCAGTCCTAAAAGAGCTACAAGTGTCCTCTGGATACCCCTTTAAAAAGAGGATCATTTGAATCTTTCTAACAGTGGAGCACGGCGGTGCAAAGTGCATCCTTTGGGAACTGAGGCATATGTTTGGTTTTAACAGAAGTACTCATTAGGTAGCCCTTCAGTCCTGGCTGTGGCCTCTGAGTCAACACTAGATCTCGCTGAGAGCAGCCTGTTGGATTCGTCAGGATTTAGCCTCGTTAGATACTCGCCTTCCATCCCCTTAGCTTTGGTCCCAGGGCCGAGGGTCTCAAACGTGACATACGAGTCCTGTATTTCTTTGGATTGCTTCCCCAGCAGCTTTTGGCAACGTTTCTTTATTGCCCCACAGCACACAATCAGTGTAAGAGGAACAGCAATCACGCATGCCACCGTTATCACCACCACATTAATGAGCTTCTGAGTGCCACTGGCACTGGCTGCTTCATCGGTTGAGAAGATTACACACTGCTCCTTTTTTGGGATCAGGCCTTTGACGCAAACACAGGCAATGTACTTTGTCTTTGGCACAAGGCCGTCAATTGTGATTCTGTTTCTTCCAGAGCCCACATTGATTCGACGCATGTCTCTCTCACCAAATATAGCATATAGGACGCTAAACTCGGTGGTATTTGTGGCTGTAGGGGCTCGCCAGTTCAGAGAGACAGTATGGTCAGTGTCACCAATCACCTTTACAGAACGCACTATCCTTTTCTCAGGAGCTTGCTGTAACGATGAGGCATTGGCCGATAGGTTACTTAAAGCATCCTGTTGCACGTCCAGTGGCTTTTGTGCATCCGAACCTTTGCCTCGTCCCTGAGAAACACCATCAGAGATGCTGTAGCTCTCAATCTCATACTTCCCAGTCACCCCCTTGCCATTAAGAGGTTCAATGATGGGCTGTGCAGCTGTAGATGTAGGTGGAGGAACGTATCTGGCAATAAGCTTTTCCTGGTATGCCGCTCTGCCAATGCCACCATTTTTCTTCCCCCTTGATCTCTTAGAAGTACCACCACCGCCACCTCCTGCTTCTTCTGACCGAAAGGAATCTGTGATCACCAAGGAGATGACAGCGTCTGCCGTGCCCACAAAGTTGGTCGCCTTGCAAACATATTTCCCAGAATCCCGGTAAGAGACAGCAGGCACGCTCAGAATCGACCAAATGATGCCTTCCTTTGAGATCTCTTGCTGAACTGAAAAAACAAAAAGGTAGATATCCACAGAGATAAGCAGATTGACAAAAAAAGAATAACTTTAATGTAATTGACACGTGTGCAGAAATAAATCAAATCTAAGCACATCTGGAACAAATTCAACAAAACTCACCGGTGCCGTTCATTTTCTTGCCATCAGCACGGCTCCAGAACAGCTCTGGGATGGGGACTCCAACTGTGCCACAGCGCAGCAGCACATTGTTGCCCAGTGAGCTCCGAACACGAGCCACAGCCGTATGCACTCGAGGGCCTTGGCACCTCTGCAGCTCTGCTTCAGTGAAAAGAACCCCTGATAGGCTCTCGGGATCAGCGCATCTTAGTCGAGTGTCAATGAGAGCCACGGAGGACGAGGGGGACTTCTGAAACTGAACCAGATCATAGAGTCGACAGTCACACAGCCACGGGTTATCATGAAGACCTGCAGAGGAATGTATGGAAAGACTTTATTAGTGAAAACAATAAATTAAGTTGTTTTACCCAACACTGAGTCATTTTAAGACCAGACCATTACCTAGGATTGAGTATAAATAAACATAATTAGCCTAACAAGTTGACACACTGCACACACAGTATATTTAGACTAATCCCTAACTGAGCTTTAAAGAAGTAGCTCTCATACAAGGCAGATTACAAAGAAATCTTAATACATCAAAGTTCAATCCTCACCAAGTATTAGTTTAGCAGAATCAGCGTCCTGGGGTGGCTTCACACTTAGCCACATTGTGAGAATTTCACCAGGAACGGTTGTGAGACTGTTGCTAGACAAGTCCAGGTAGGTTATGTTCTGTATATACATGATGGCTTCTGCAGGCATGCTGGAGATCTTGTTGTTGTGTAAGTCGAGGAGCCTCAGGTTTGGCATGTCTGTCAGAGACTCCCAGGGGAAGGAGGTAAGGGAGTTGCCATCCAGCCTGAGCTCATTAAGGTTGTAAAGACCCCGGAAACTGTCAGGAGTCAGGGAGTTCAGGGAATTGAAAGACATCCAGAGAAACTCCAGACTGTTGAGGTAGTGGAAGGTGCTGCTAGAAATCCGTGTGATTGCCGTCTTCTCAACGCGGAGCTTTGCCGTGTCGGTTGGGAAATTTTGAGGAACCACAGTGATTTCCGGATCATTGCAAAGAACACTTCTGCAAGAAAATAACAATAAAAAAATATGATTACCTCTACAGAACATGTAGCAGTAACAATATTAAAGATATTTTTAAATTCAAGATGAAAGCATATTTTATACGTTAGTTTTAAATAAAAATAAGTTTAAAAAGTTCAGTTTATTAAAGAAAAAACGTAGCAGACTATTTTTGAGTTATAAGCAAATGGGATTAAGGAACAAATCCAAGTTAATTCCAGCACACGGAGTCACTGAATATAGCAAAGCTATATTCTCACTTTTATCGCAAAGCATGATAATACAATTGTGCTCTGAATTCAATTCACAGAGTTTACCTCGCTTTTGATCCGTCGCTTAGTTTGTGAAAGAAGCAGCTGCACTGGGCAGGACACGGACTGCTCATCAGAGGAAGAAAAACTAAAGCCAAACAAAAAGCTGCAGGAAAATGTCGACTCATTTTGCAAGCTACTGAACACTATGCAACTAAACTACAGTTACAAAGCATGCGCCGCTACTCGGTCTAACAGGACGCGGGATGCATCGTGGTGTTTTGCACGCTCACAGATCCACTCTGCTCCGACTGGTCTGAATCCTGAGATAAAAAGGATAGGCAGGGATTAGAGAAGGACTTGGGTTATTTTCATTCACACGATTAGGCTATTGCTTCCTGGAAGCTGATAGGTTACCGCGTTTTTACTTTCATTCTTAGACATACTTTCCAAGCAATGATTGGATGGACAGTTATGACACAACTACCTGCAATTATAGGACATAAAGAAGTAGCAGGTGGACGAACTACAGTCGCTAAATCTACCATACCTGAGTGAGCATTTGCTTCTTCTTTTTTTTCGAGTAAAAGGGGAAATATCTGAACACATTTAAAACGTTATTCTTATCTTATCATTTTTATCCATCTCAAGGCTTTTTGCTCCACGTAAATCGACCAAGTTTCACCAAAAACAAACAAACTGAATAAATTCTGATATGAAACACAAGGCGATAAAAACTCCTCTCGATTAGGTTTAAATGTCCTCAAACCGTCGTTTTTGTTAGAAACTTCATTTACAGACTGTAGTTAAATAGTAGCAGTGAGCGACCACTAGATGGCAGTGGGAAGTCACTGAGTGTAAACAATTGTTAAACACTTACACTGCTTGTCTCCGTTCAGGTAATCAGTGGGTTTGAATACAATTTTAAAACAGTTTTTCTTATGGAGAGAATTTCTAATCTCTGCAAGACTGCATGAATCTACTTCCCCCCAAAAAGAACATTAATAAAAACTTGGATTTCATCGTGCTTTGTGATTTTTTTTTCTGTGCTATTAACACATGCACATTCATACATCATCATATGCAGGCTATCTGAGTATGACATACTTTGTGGATGACAGATGTATTGTCACAGTCTGAGGGGTTTTTTTCACAGGTAAAGAGGTTTAAAGACATGGCTGCTCGGCAGGGTTTTCAAATCCTTTAATCCAGTCATCTCTCAGTCTCTTGATAATACAACTTTGTTCCATTTCTTTCAAGAGGGCTGTCCCAGACAGGAAAACCTCCAACCCCGCATCTGTCCCTATAACATTTCCCCATATGACCCCACATCTTGGATTGGGGTGTAAGGCGCATCTTTTAATAATGTCTTTATAGCAATTAAGATTTATTTACAAGAATAAATGATCTATCAATGGGAAAGTGTTATAATAATGAAAGAAACTGATGCAAAATGACATTTTTCATTTTTAATTACCAAAAATATACATTTTAAATAAATACAATTATTAATTTAAAAAATATTAAGTCAAAATAGAAGCAATTCTCTACATTATGGAAAAAAACATGTATCGCTTTCACAGGACTCTATGCATAGATTTTTTTTGAAAACAAAAGAATTAAGAAGGCAAGTAGCAGCAAGGGGCTGACAGTCAAACACGGCAGCCTGCACACTAAAGAAATAATAAGACTTCTAAAACAATATCCTTTCGACAGGGAAGGAAAGATATTTGCCAAAATGCACAGTTCATGAAATTCTGTCCTTGACCAGTTCATGAACTCCTCTGTCTACCAAGCAATACAAAGTATTCTACAGTCAAATTTGGGGCCATCTGTCCGACAGCTGAAGCTTGGCTGAAATTGGGTCATGCAGTAGGACAATGATCCCAAGCACACGAGCAAATCTACAACAGAATGAGTGAATAAGAAAAGAATCAAGATGCTGCAATAGCCCAGTCAAAGTGAAATGCTGTGTTAGGACCTCAAGAAAGCTGTGAAGAAATTAATGTCTGCAGGCCTCAGTGAGCTGAAGCATTGTTTTGAAGAGGGGTGGGATACAATTCCTCCACAATAACATGAGAGACTCATAAAATCACACAGAAAACTATTACTATTATTGTTTATAGCGGTGGTTCTACAAGCTCTTGCTCATTGGGTGTTCTTAGTTTTTCACAGGATTGCAGAGTCCTGTGAAAACATTTCTTTTCACATGCCTGAAAGTACAATACCTAAAGTAGGTGCTGTATGTAAACACAGTATATTGGCGCCTGTATGTGCACTGGGGTGGGGGGCATTTCCATCTGAGCTGTTTATGAGAAAAAGGTAGAAAAAGACCAGTGTCTAGAAAATGGGAGTTATCCCATTTAACTGCTTCTAGTTTTAAATTAGGAAATATATTTTTGAAAATGCTTTCAGTTCCTGGTCATTTGTTCAAATGGAGTTTCAACAATAAAGCCTTTGTTTCATTGCAAAACCAACAGATTATGCTGCAGTAATTAACTATTTGTCAACGGATCAATGTTTAGCCTTTGTAGGGAGTTGTAGCCTTGTGTTTTATGCCACAGTTTCATTTGTGTGTGGCTAAACACGACGAATTCTCTCTGACTGAGATGATGTTAATTAAACAGTTAAATTAAAGAAAGCTACAGTCCTGATCTCTGGCATTATGTTAAGTCTGGCAGTGCAGGTCATAATGCAGCTGTTGGACTAAAACTTATTCAACCTCAAAACGCTCTTTAGTTACTTCAATGCTCATATTTTAATCCTATTTTCTTCACACTCAGCCCCAGCAGATTAACAGATTGTGCTATTAAATATTTTGAAATTGAGAAACTGGCATTGCTTTATGTTCCTGAATGGCATCACACTGCTCCACCAGCTTCTAACAAACACCTTGCTAGGCATTTTGTTGGGATTGAGGGCAGCACACAAATATTCTGCGATGTGATTCAGATGCTCCAACTGGTCAATTTATCTGTGAAATATTGGCATTTTTACCGCCCCAAATGTTCCAGAGCAGCAGATGCCAGCAGATGACAAGTACACATGTCATAGCTTTTTTGTGTGTGTGGATTGAACACAGAGCTTACAGAAAAGACAATATGGACAGTTTAGAAAAGGGTATTATAAGTCCATTGGGACAATTCATTACTTCATAGTTAATGAGGTTGTGGTAATCTGTGGCAAGCTTAGTGGTGCAATCAGACTCTACCCAAATGTTACATTTTAAAAGGTTTAAGCAGCCACAATAGCCAAAGGTAACTTAGGACAGCTGTGACATGGGATGACAACATGCCATGTCACAGATCCTCAAATCCTCGCAAACTGCCTTCTTGAACATGACAGCAAGTACATGACAGCAAGTATCCAAATGGCCTCCACACTCACCAGATCTCAATACAATCACAGACCTTTGGGATGTGGTGGAATAGGATGTAATCCCACACGTGCAACCAATAAATCTGCAACAACTATGATGCTATCTTGTCAATGTGGACCACAATCTCTTAGGATTTTTTCCAGTACCGTGCTGAATCTATGCCAAAAGGAAATAAAACAGTTCTGAAGGTAAAAGAGGTCTACTTCCTGAAAGTGATGTGTAGGCTGGTCTGGAAAACATTTCGTTCTTACAGCAGAAAGAAAAGAGATAGCCTGATGTAGTCATGAAAGTGGGTACTGGCTCTTGACATTAAGTAACTTACTGTTGTTCCCAAAGTTGCCTGAAAAGCCTCCAATTAATCCAAAACCCAACAGTGACTCCCTGTTAAACCCAGAATTGAATTTAAGATCCTTCTTCTCAGATACAAGGTCTTGAACACCTCCCTTGTTATCGTAACAGAGCACTTGTGATTTTTGAAAAGAGCTAAAAATAGAATTGGAAAGCCTTCAGCTTTTATGCTCCTGTGGAGCCAGCTCCCAGTTTTAACTCAGGAGAAAGGCACCTTCTCTACTTTTAAGATTAGCCTGAAAACTTTCCTTTTTACGCTTATAATAAGTACTTTCCACAATACTTAGTTAACACAAGAAGTCACTTGGATGAGTGATGAAACGTTTCTCCCACTGATAATGCTACATCCAGATGAACAGATCAAACCTTTTTGGACAAGAAAACACACCTTTAGGCTGTTCATATATTTTTAAAAGGAGTTTTTTGGAAACCTGGAATGTAAAGGTCTCTTTTTCTAAAGCACTTTGGGTCAACGTCTGTAATTTGAATATGCTATTTACTATAAATAAAATAGACAGGACGGTCAACACAAAAAGTGCATGTTCGAGGTATATTTTTTTTTCATTTGCAAAAATTTCATAGATCCGCCCACCTCTATTCTCCACTCCCCATGTGTTTATACACCATTATTACATTAGTCTGTGATCATCTTGTCTTCTTATGCCCACCCCAATCGGTGGGGTGAGCCCTAAAGTGCATTTAAGAGTTATCAGTGTAACTGTCCAGACTGCCGGTCAAAGTCTGCTTAAGAGTCCAACACTCTTTTAAGTTAAAAGACAACATTTCCCATGTTTCCTTTCTCTTATCGCTTACAAAGCTGTAGGTTGGTTTCGCCACAGAGTGTTCGGCAATAAACTTTCAGAGCCTTTAGATGACAGAATTGCGCAGAAAACTCGCAAAGTGTTTGCAACCACTCACTTGCAGAATGTGTGCAGGAAGTCTGCTTGTTAGGACATTCTTCGGGGGATTGTAAAGAGGGCTTTGCTAAGATTAGCGCGTTCATGCTTTTTCACGTGAAAGCACCTTTATAAGGCCTTATTGTGGCACAGACTGTGGGTGGCTACGCTGCAGGAAAACGACTCGTCTTCTTTGCAAAGTCTAATTTGTGTGCTTCATCATGGCAACATATACGTTACCGGAGGGATTCACGGAGTTTGACATGTTTACATTCGGTTCAGCACTCCTTGTTGGCGGTAAGTGAAGCGCGCTGTATGGTTATACAAGAAGGAAGGACCCAGATAACCATGAATAAATTTGGAAGAGCTGTATTTTTAGGGGTAATGCTTGGAGATGAGTTAGATGTTAAAAGTTCCAAACCAAAACTACTTAAATTGCATTTTGTTTGTTTGCACACTTTGTGGGCCAAAAAACCAATAAGATCGGCCATGCAGACAAATACAGCTACAGGTTAAATGTGAAACCAAATAATAGAAACGTAATTTATTCTTTGTTTTCACTTTTAGGGATGCTGGGATTCTTCCTCAATGCCATCAGCATCCTTTCTTTCCTCAGGGTGAGGGAGATGCGCAATCCCAGCAACTTCCTGGTGTTCAACCTTGCTGTAGCTGACCTCAGTTTGAATATTAATGGACTCACTGCAGCCTATGCAAGCTATCTCAGGTAACAAACAGGGCATGCTCTGTTAGAAATGTA